TATCTCAGTATATTGCACAACATTGAATATAGATGAAGTTGAAATTGAGGTGCCCTTCTTATATACTGTGCATTAGATGGAGGGATTGTACAGGGTGATATCCACAGGCAGGAGTGATTTCCAGTATAGTTCAGCGGTGCATTTGGGTAATCTCAACCTGTCACTGGATGTGCTCCTGTGACTGGCCAGCACGTCTTGGAATGGGTGGGAGGTTTTGTCCAGCATTGTCCTTATCTTGGACAACATCCGGCTCTTCGACATCACCTTCCAGCTACGTCCCCACAATGTTACTGGTCTTATTGTTGGCGCCCTCAACCTGCTGCCCCAGCATGCTTCATGGCTTCATGAAGTGTGTCATGAAATGATGGTTCCCACATTTAATCTTTTATCCCCACGTTGTTGTCGTCTGCTCTGCTATGTTCTACACTTATTTCAATAACTTGATCAATAATCAGCGACTACTCAAGAGGACAGTGAAGTTTAAAAAGTCCATGCAGCTGTAAGGTCGCCGTTCGCTGCTCAGTTGAACTGTCAAATGTACAAAAATGTATGATTGTGGAATTTGTATAAAATAGTTGTACAGATGTTGGGAGTCGGTGTCATAGGCATTTGTTTTAGTGTCATTCATTCCACTTGTTTAGGAGACGTGGAACATGCAAACAGACATACGCTAAAATCATTTCAGTGTGATGATGATGATTCATACTAAGCTGCTTAAATAGTTACAGAGACAAATGTGAAGGCAAGTAAAAACCCACCAATGTTATCACAGTGAAAATGGCTAATGTTTTTCATCTGTGGCATTAAAATTCTAAGTCAGAGTATAATCGGTCCATCAAAATGGTCTCAGAAACACACTATATATGCCTTTGATAGCTGGCTTGAAAAAACATCCTGCTTTTCTTAATACCAGCGTTCTGTTGAGGGGAACTCGTTCGGTTCAGAGGTCCTAGAAAAAAAATAACACATTTGATGCGTACATCCAAGAAATATTCAAAATATTGTTACACTGGTTACAGTAACTCTTGTTTCTTGTCCTCTTGTCATAGACAGAACAGTACAAAGGAAAGAGAGACCTGGACTCCTTCAAAGACTTTTTGGACAACCAGCTGAAGGCTGCACTCACCGAGGAGGAAAAGCAAGAGGAGCAGAAGGAGGAACCAAAGGCAAATGAGATCCCTGCTGAAGAGCCAGCTGAAGAGGAAGCAAAGGTGGGTGTTCACAACAGAGAGGTGTTGTACTCGGATAATATTTTGGTCTCCTCTTTTGTATTTCCTGTTTTGTATTTTTAAGTGGGGACATTTGTGTGCCCCGTTGAACTGGTGCTCAGAGACCTTAGATACACAGCAGCTGCACATTGCAGTGATCGTTGATGCATTCAGTGGGGTCCTGGCACTGTAGCTGTAAAGTTGTTGTGATTCTTAAAGGGCTTGAATTGTGTATTTTTACATTACACACACAGTGCACTTCTTCTGGATGCCATTACTGAGAATCTGAAGCACATGAGCAGCAGTTATTTCCTGTTGCAGTGAAACTGTTCAACACAACACATGTACACGCAGTAGTTACACTGTAGGTCTTTGAGCATGGCACCCATTCAGATTCCAGTTAGGTGAGAGACTGGCAGCTAAATTATGCCAGGATTTTGCATATCTTTTATTAATGAGATGATGTGGGCATTACTGGGGAACATAACCTGTGCACACAATTCAGAAGCTCTCACTCCAGTAACAGAATAATAAATACAATAATGCAATAATATCGTCATGGTGAGGAAAAACACGGATCCATATAATTCCAACTTGTATTCCTGTCCTCTTTCTGTCTGTAGTCCAGTGTTTTGGTCCTGAATGAGGACAACTTTGAGGAGACTGTAGCCAAAGGATTCACCTTCGTCAAATTCTACGCTCCATGGTGAGATTATTGTTTAACATCTTCCTTTATTGTGTGTTGTTAATGCCAAATGAATCATGACGCCTCAGAAATTAGTTCAAGTATTAAATAATGCTGAAGCTTTGTCTGCAGGAGAGGGTTTAAAACTACTACGAGTAAGATGAGTTGGAGTGTATCATTTTTAAACAAATATACGTTAAGTACCTGCAGATGTCTGAAGTAATTATTGTTCTAGTGACTAAAGTGATTAAACTCCTGATTTAAAATGTTGGCAGCCAGTGTTTGAAACACAATTTGTCAGTCAGTGAGAGTGATGTCACTCTTGTGTTATCCTGCTGTCTAGGTGTGGTCACTGTAAGAATCTCGCTCCAACATGGGAAGATCTTTCCAAGAAGGAATTTCCTGGTTTTACTGATGTCAAGATTGCTAAAGTGGACTGCACTGTTGAGCGCACACTCTGCAACAAGTACTCTGTAAGTGAAATTCTGTCCAGGCACTGAATGCTTTGCACTCGGAGACTGTTTCTGGCGCACGTACCCTTCTGTGAGCTTTATATTTCTGCAGGATTAAATGTGTTACAGTGTATGCAATAAACTAAAGTGGTGGATTATATCAAAGACATAAAATTCTACAACTGCTACATATTTTAATTAGATACTATGAAATAAAACCCTAAAGCAGATTTAACAGTCCTGGTGGTTGGTGCACACATGTTTTCAGCTTGGAGTGAAGCCATGGTTACCCAATGATGACAGTATGGTGATATTCTTTTTTTTTTTTTATCTGTTATCCAGGTGCGCGGTTACCCCACCTTGATCATCTTCAGAGCAGGGGAGCAGGGTGATGAGCATCACGGTGGGCGGGATTTGGAGAGCCTGCACGACTTTGTGATGAAGCAGGCACGAGACGAGCTGTAGATACAGGCTAGTCGGCGCTCTCTCTCTCCACAACTCTACTCGCTCACACTGCATATCTGGCTAATAGGACACCGCCCTCTCTCGTACAAAAGCCAGACCCCTACTCTTCCCCCTCTCTGTCAGTCATCCAATGACAGGCTGGCGCATTCATCTTTTTTTGGTATTCAAGTGCAGAATCATTCGGTGAGTGTTTGGAAGGTGATCGTACTTTGCTCTTGCTCAACTTTAAACCACGTGGCGACTGGTTGGGCCTGAAGATGAAGTAATATGTCGACAACCACTTTGCAAGCTCTGCTCAGAACCAGAACTTTTCACAAGAATACAAAAAATGTTAAAACAGTGGCACTAAAGTTTCTACCTGTTTGTTTTTTAAATGAAGTGTTTCTGACGTCTCTGCCTTCTGACTTCTTTTTTCCCCGATGCTAATTTGTGTACATGAAATTTTTATTTTTTTTGAAATCGTAAGCCATTAGTTTTCTATTACTGTCACTCACGAGGCTGTAAAAGTTTGTGACTCTCCAATGTGAAGCAGAGTGTTAAGTTGAGGGTGCTTCATAGTCATGCCAGTGATGGCCTGTCTGACTTAACTCTCAGGGAAGAAACCACACAGACTGATGGCGAAGTCTGTGATTTTACTGAATCTGACAACTTTTTTTTTTTTTTTCCTGTTAATCAAGATTACCAGATCCTGACTGATTGTTTTAGTCTCAGTGATCGACCATCCCTTTCTACTTCTAGCATTGAGAGTGTTAGGCCTGGACCATGCTGCCCCATCGCTCTGTTACTGATCTTTTGTGTTATTGCTTCTGTTTGGACAAGCCATCGTTGACGTGAAGTCTCCCCTAACATTATTAGGTGTCGATGTAAAAACGTGAATGTTTGTATTCTTCAGGCCAGGTTTATCCTTCCTATGTTAGAAGGATTTGGACACAGAAGGGTCGCTCATCGTCTGCACTGAAAGGTCGAACTGCTGCTCAGGGTGAGCTCAACTCCCATCGTATCCACGTTCTCACCGTGATTTCCATCTATTCTTACTGAAGCGACAGCCTAAGTTGAAAACATTGTATCGGGATGATTTAGACCTTTGGACACCAGAGCCATCGGCCTGAGTAAAATAGACGATGAGGTTCTGATTACAGTTAATCATTGAAGTGGGCAGGAACTGGCAGCATTAAAATTCAACACAAATAATTTTCGGGGGGATTCGAAGGTGAAGCCTTAGTGAAAAAGCACTTGCAGTGTTTCAGTGCATCTTTCTGCAATTAACCGCCGTGTAAACTGCACCCACCTGTTAGGCAAATGCTCTTTGACCCAGGTTACGTGGAAAGCATGTGTTGTGTGAATGCAAGGCACCATTTATTGTTAAACCCAGGTACTCAAACAGTCTGAGACACAGCAGTTTTTTCTCAGTAAAAGTTTTTATGGATAGCACATGGTCTAAGCAACTCCAGTGACAAAGTCATGTTTTTTTTGTTGTTTTTTTCCTTTTCATGGGTTATAGTTTGTGCACAACCCACAGATTTTGTACAAAAGAGTGAATAATGGCAAAATGTAACATGAGATTTGGTAATAAATTTTTCTCAAAAATAACTTTGCATTTTCATTTTGCTCTTGCATCTCTGTTAATAACGTATGTGATTTTTTTCTTTTTAATAAAAGGTGCAATAAATAAGCTGAGAATGTACAAGTATTTACAAAAAAAACTAAACATGATCACAAATGTAAACAGCAGCTTACCAGAGGTATATTTTGTAATGTATGATTGGTTAGGCACGTAAGGTATTCTGATTCTTACTGGTATTAGTTTTTCATTAAAATATGCTCTAAAAGTACTCATGTCATTTAAAGCTCACAGTTACATACTCCGTTGGGAAGACGTTGCCACGTGACAGGTGACAAATTAAAGGAAAAACCAGGCACTGCTTTTCAGCAAAACTGCTCGAATGCACGTTTATTTTTAATTCTTCAGCTCTCTAAAACTTAAAGAGGTGATTGATTGGTCGAAAATCTACCAAACTGGGTTGAGATCTGGTGACTTGAGGGCCACAGGCTCTATGAAAAGGGCAAAGCTGTTATCCTAGAAGCGACCATTCCCTTCAAGATTTAACACAGAACAAACTGATCCCGCCAATGAATGCTTTAAAAGAATAGTACGAGATGCCCCCACTGTGCAGGGTTTGAGCATACAGGTTTTTCCATTAATTTGTCACCTGTCCATATCCAAACACAGTTTCACCCTCGGGGTTGAAAAAGCAACCGGCTAATTTCAGAACGCTGACACAAACTGTTCTGCGGGATGTTTTTTTTTCTACTATTTCATGATGGGCTGTCAGGAGTGGAAGCGTTTGTTAACTTTGTGAGAGCAGCGACATGGAAATGGCCATTTGTGGTATGTCCGAGGGATAAGGCTGTATTCTTCGGTTCTTTGGAGAAAAACATCAGTTTAGCCACAACATGCATCATGTTGAACCAGCCTGGTGAATCGCAGCTCAGCCCCAGCCTGGCAAATATTGACATGGAGGAGAGGAGGTGGTGGTGTCGGGGGGGATATTTGGAGCGGTCCACTGCTAAAATAGCCTGCGGTGACTTTGGTTCAGTCCATATTATATTTTTGGGAAGGCAAATATGGCTCGAGAAAAAAAACAGCAGAGGGGAGGAAGGAAATATGAGTGTGCTGACTCCAAAGTATCATTCAGTTTGTATTAGATGGTTTTGGTTAACAACATTTTGCACAGAAAAAAGAAAGTCGGGCTGATTCACACCACTTGGAAATATGACGGGGGTGTTAGCCCTGCAGTGTCATGTGCTGTAGGGAAGCTGTTCATTATCTGAGCCTCCTGCGAGAACTGATGCACCTTGCTCTTTTTTTCTATGTTGGGAGAGAAGACGGGAAAGAAAGCAGCACTCTGACTGGTCCCACGACAGTTCAGTTTCACCCTCTCAGGGAGGGAGAAGGTGCAGTAGCCTCTCAGGCATTCATACACACACTTCAGTAAACACATAATATACAAACTTAAATGCTTAAATGCCTCCCCCCACACATACACACACAGTCATTCACTCAGTTGCAGACCCATGAAGAGAAGACCCCCGTCCACAGCTAACAGGAAGGGTGGTAGACAACTTGGTGGCTCAAGACTGGAACAAGGTGAAGTTGCCTATGGATGATCCACATGTGGTGGGGAAAACTTGCTACTTGATATGTTAGCAGGTTTAACAATTATGGAAATGGAACATGGGAATGATCTTTCAGGCTGGACGTTCCTTTGCATGTTGAAGATTTGGGCGGGAATCCGGTGTCTACCTGAGGTCAACGTACACCCAACTTTGACTGAAGCACTACCAGTCTTCATCTGACTGTCAGTGGCAGCCGCAGGCCCGCACCACCATGTTCTTGTATTTCTTCAGTATGACGTTGGAGTTGTCGTCGAAATAGAGCACTGAAATGGCGTGCAGCTTCGTGGGGGCGCAGCACGGCTTGGGTACGTTCTCGGGGTTCATCAGGTGCACCTGGAAATAATGAGAAAGACCTTCAGCCTCTTTATGTGTCACAAATCCCCCACACCCTCTTTCTATTATCAGAAAAAGTAGCAATTAGAAATGGATGATAAACTCACAAAGGACAGATTTAAAAATAGATTTTATTATACTTTTAAATCATGCCAAATGTCGGATTATTTGACATTTCTTTAATGGCCACTGGAGACTGGTTATAAAATCCCCAACCCCACGTGGCCCAACTTTACAGCAGATATTAAAATGGTTTGGACTCTCTCAGTAGCATCTAAATTAAATTGACTGTGTAGGGATGCTCTTCTTAGATCATTCAGTCACTAAAATTATATAAAGGTTGATTTAAGTGACAGGTAGACACAAATAAATGGAGGTATAGCCACTAGCTTTCTGCTAGCCCACACCTTGGCTCGAAGCGTACTCACAGCCCTTCCAATAAGGTTGTGCTTCAGTCTTAGTGAGTGAAAAGCTAATATTTGAATCATTCATTACTAAGCAATAACAAACATGTCTCTTTATCTGTCCACTGCACCTGTACAGCTTATAGATATAGATAGATAGCAACTTGCTAACCAAGCTGGCTATCATTAGCTGATAACATAGAACTCCACCCTCTCGTCTAAATATGGCTGACCTTATCAAGCTTGATTAGACAGTAGCAGTTATAAATGGTACTAACTGTACACGTACACATACCTGCTAATCTTTGTTTACCTATTATTGACAATCTCTTCCACAGTGTGTGTTTTGTCCCATCACCCCCAGCCTGGTTCTGCTGGTTTCTTTTTATCAAAAAGGATGTTTTTCCTTCCCACTGTCACCAAGTGCTGGCTCATAGGGGTCAAGCCAAGGCGCAATGATTTCTCTGTATTATTATAAAGTGTCTTGATGTGACTGTTGCTGCGATTTGTTGCTATATAAATAAAACTGAATTGAAGTGAATTAAGTTAAAGATTACTAAAATGCTAGGATGGTACTCAAGGAGCAAAAACTAATCGGATGGTCTGTCCCGCACAGACTACATTAAAAATCCTCCCAAGCACCAACGAACATGTCAGAGTGGTCCAGAGATTCAGTAACTCCAATTAGTATCGGTAGAAGCTGCTTGGCTATACCGTCTATGCTGCCACGCTCCTAAATCCTGCATCCAATTGGGAGTTATGAAAACACAAGCTATCATCTGTACAGTTGTTTAGAACAGGGAAACTCTTCACAGAGACCAACTTTTTTGAATAAGACTGTATAAATATATATATTTTTAATACCATAAACATTTTAACATGGAAGTCTATGGGGACTGATTCCATTTGAAGGCTGCTTCAAGTGGCCACTAGAAGAAGAGCAGTTACTCCATGTGTGGATGCACCTCATTTGTCTCTTTTATGTTTCGACCGTCCATGACAAGTAAATTTAATGGAGTTAACTGAGCTTCACAGAACTGTAACGCTTTATATTCACCGATATTTATAACCCTAAGAAGGCCACGGCGACTAGATTAAAAATACACTGTCGAAACACTCTCATATGCTCCTGTGCTTATTTTTAAAGGTCATTTAGACACACAATAGACCACTATTATATCTCGTTGCAGTGTTGCTACAACAATCCTAAATCCACAGGAAAAACTGTATGAGCACCACCACAAAGTTCTGGCAGACATAAGAGACGGGCCTAAAATGACTTCTTCTTCATTGTGTTAAGAATACACACATACTTAGTGCGGTAAACCGTAGTGGGATGGTCTTACCAGCGTCTGCACAATGGCGTGGTTGGTGGCATTCATGTGGGCATTAAGGGGGAAGGAGCATTCTCCATCACAGTAGTTGGCTGCGTAGCCGTCAGGAGCAATAATCCAGTCCTTAGAGAAACACGTGAAATCAGTTGGTTTTGGGATGAACAGAAATGAACAGTTTTGTTATTATTGGTTCAGTACAGCTGCTGTTGGTAAATTCAGAGTTAACGTTCTCTCTGCGGACAAATCCACAGCGCTGTCTGTGAAATCACTCAGAGCTAATCCCTCTCCTCCTTCCTTCCACTCTTTCTGTCTTACTGTTTGACTCTGATGAGGTGTCGACAGGTTATCCCCCCCACTCTAATTTGTGTTTTGATCTAGTTCATCTTCCTGTCTGTGTCAATCAACCGTCTGTCTTCACCTTTTCACTCTTCTGACAATCCCTTTCATTATTTCCAGCTCCCTTCCTCTGTCTGTGTGTGTGTGAATGATTGCTGGCAGTCTCCCTCTAGATGTCAGTGCTGTGTTAACAGCTGGTTGTATGTACCTCTGCCCTTCTCTTTTATTTCTTCCTCTGTATCTAAGTAAACACGCACACACACACTGTGATCTCCATTTAACCTTTTCTATGTCGCATCCTCTCTTGTTTCTAATGTGTACTGAGCAGTGTACTTTACAGAGTCATGCTGACAGGTTTCTTTCATTTACTACTTTATCGTGTAGAAAAACTGAGACGTGCTGTTGAAATTACACTTTTTTTCTTATCTTAAAGTATCTCGTGGAAAAAATAGTTATACTTTCCCACAATCTAAAGTGCCTTTCACATCCCTGCTCTGGGTGACGTCTGACTTCAAGGCCATGTATCTCACATCCCACCTCCCCTCGTCAGCTAACGGTTTACCTCCCCACCACCACCAGTGCATAAACTCTGGGGCGTTCATGCGACTCCACTCCATAATTTAGCTACTCATGCTCATTTTTTAAATATTAAGATATGACAATTTGTAGAAGGAAACCAGTCTGACAAGAGATGGCTACTTAATACACCTGATGGTGGCATACTGCTTTTGCTAAGAGTTTAAAAAACACACAAATCCCCTATTATTCCAACAATCATATAATATATACTCTAGTGTGCATAGTAGGAACACTGATTAGAATTAAAAAGTAGTCCTGACTAGACAACTGATGTATTAGGAAACTTTTAGGTGAAGCTTAAGGAGAAAATACCTGCCAGCCCAGCTCTCTGAAGCTGACGTACAGCTCGTGTCTTCTGCATGCTGTCTTCTGATCGCTGCTGTTGTAGTCTGAAAGACAAAGAACAGAAACCATCAGGGTTCACATATTACCACGATCCTCTCCAGACACGGGGCCGCTCCACTTAGAATCATGATTAGCATCTGGCGTCGTTTTCCACATCGTTTGTGACCCTCAGCATGTGGAAAGTATGTCACAGCGCCATGATGATAAAACAAAGTGAAAGCCCTTTTCCTTGGGTAAATGATGTAAATATGTCCAGTGAAGTCCAGTGACACATTACATACTGAATCCGAGAGCAGAAGAATAACACAACACGCCTCGCGTAATGCACTGGGTGGAGAAACATGTGAGGGCGTAGACTGGAGCGCCGGCACAAGTGCTCATTACAGCGGTCGCTGCGCTGTACGTGCTTCACATTCATCTGCTGTCTAATGCACTTGAGCGCGTGCCTAATTGAATTCATTGGCAGTTACATATTATTTGGCACATGCAAACGCAGTGAAATAGTGACAAGTGTGTTTGTGGACTCTCCGCCCATCAGCTTGTCCTTAATCATCTGTGTTCGCCTCTGCGGCCGTACAGCAACAGCTCAGACAGTCTCAGGTATAGGTTTGGTTTTCAAACTAGAAGAGGTCATTGCTGGCATCGGTCACCGCACTGAAGTCAAGACGGTGACACAGATTTTCCACTTAGGTTTCAAGGTCTCCCTTTAGCTTATTTACTCTGTCCTTTCATGGCTTTGATTACATTTTCACAACTAACCTGTCTGTGAAACAGGCAAAGTGCTACACAGTGGCACTGGTCCCATGTTCTCGATGGTTCTATATGAGGCTCTATTTGAGGCAATTATGACTCTACAACCACACACACACACACACACACACACACACACACACACACACACACACACACACACACACACACACACACACACACACACACACAAGAGTAGCTTCTTTGAGTCCAAAACTGATTTTAATTGCAGTTAGTTGTTGGTCTGCACATCCATAATTATAAAACAGTTAACCAACTGTTTAGACTTTTGCTGAGGACCAGCCTTACAATCAAGCAGCAACCTCCAGGGCTGAGAAATAAAGCTAAGGTGCAATGCAAAGACTTGTAGTTCCTCTAATAGCCACTTGAGGCAACTCTAAAAGCATTTACAGTCTGGTATTACATTTTTTTTTAAAAATCTCTTTTTACCACAGAAAAAACAGGAGATCAGAAATCAGTAGATGACGTTATTGTTGCCATCTTCTATATACAGTCTGTGGCTAGAATAATATTGTGATTATAATAAAACAATAAAAACTTTCACAGGTTTGAATCTAAATGCGACTGATCCTCTCATCCAAAACACAGTGTTGACTTTTTCCAGTCTGACTCTTAACCTGTCAGCTCATGCACACATAGTTATTTATCACCTGCAGGCAAATATAAATAGGTGTCATAGAATAAAATAAACAATAGAATAAATCAACTCTCCATCCAAGAAACTGGCATTTTATAGATTTTCTTGCGTGTGTGTGTCTGTTTGTCTGTCTGTTTGAGAGTGAGTCACAAGGCAGTCGGGGATTTGTCACTCAGTCACAGCCACCACCCAGCCACTCACCTCACCAAGTCACCGACAGCAGCCTTGTTTAGTCAGCTGGAGTTGGAGGGAGACGCACACAGACATATATACAAACATATTTCGCTTATGTAATGCTAATTGATTTTGGTTCCTTACATCCATACGTCTATCATTCATTACAAGCGGCGCTTCCACTCGCAGTACGTACACATAGGCACTCACAGATGACCCGATGTTTATCTGTTTAACAGCCAAACCCACTTAGCTACTCATTAAGCGGAGAGTTGTAATTTAAATTCACCAGAGTTGGTTGCATTACCATTTCGTCATCAAATTAAATTTAATTCTGAACAGACTCGCTGACTGCACTGCCCAGACCCATGTGTTTTAGCTGGCCTCGTCTCAAATACAAAAAGAGACACAGACAGGGAGAGGAAGAGCAAAGCTGGGTTTCCTGCTTGGATTCATCGCAGACCATAAAGATGAGGTGACAGAGAGAGACGCATGTGAGGCCTGGCACTGCCTGTGTTTAGTCTTCATGTTTCTACCAACTGTACCATAAATGTGCAGTTGTACTTTATATAAGGACATCTACCAAACGGCACCAAAATAACTGCAATAACAAGAAAGACATACCTATGATGGGTATTTCTAAGAAGTAAAAGGCAAATCAAGAGTAATCCAAGGCACTATTTTTGAGACACTGTGTCAAGACATAATTGTTTCCCTATATTTAACTGAAATAGTATGAAGATGACACAAAGGTAGGAAGAGATGATCTTGAAAAACACAAGCTCCACGTTTGAAAAAACATCTGGACTGTGCTCCGTCACCTCTTCAATTTAATGCAATTTTATTTTTATAACGCCAAATCACAACAACAGTCACCTCTAGGTGCATGAAGCTGTAAGGTAAAGACCTACAATAACACAGATAAAGCCTAACAATCAGGTGGCCTTCTTTGATCTAGCACTTGGTGACAGTGGGAAGGAAAAACTCCCCTTTAACAGGATGAAACAGCAACCTAAGCCTATGGCAGCATGAATAAAGAAGCCAGCAGTGTGAAAGCAAAGAGCTCTATTGGGGTGATAGTCTTCTTCTTATCAACACTATGTAAATGTTTGGGGAATGAAAGGAAAATTGTTGTTTGCTCTCACTCTTTTGTCATCAGACTTTCTGTGACAGCACGTCTGGATGGCAACATATGTTGCTCCCGATCAGTGCTAACAGAGTCGTCACAAGATGCATCTCCAAACTATCTGACTCCCCTCTCCTATTCAGCTCAGAGGAAACTGTGTCTATGATTCACCTCATCTTACATGAACTTGGACGCATAAAACATCAAAGCTGGTTCTTCACAGCGCCACCTGTGGGATCTTTCTAATGACTGAATGCACCACAGTTTGATGTTGGAAACTGTTCAACTATTTATCCACACAGTCTCTCACAGACCAGTGAATCTCTCCTCATCTTTCCTCCATAATTTATCAGCCTCACTGGAATGCTCGTTTTAAGCCCAATCATGTTACTAATCAGCCTAATTAGTCCTGAGACATGTTCCACCAGGTGTTTTTTTTGCACAACTTTTCCAGTCTCTGTGTGCCTTCTTTCCAACTTTTTATAAAAACACGTTACTGGCATCAAAATCAAAATTAGCATACAACACTCAAAGCTTTAGAAGTATTTGTACTGCACAAAGGTATAAAATGGTTTTCATCAATCTTTTCACAGCTTTGCAACTTTTTTGGAAACAAGGCTGGAAATTCGATGAATATTTCATCTGACTAGACGAGTTCACTCTGTGAGAAGAAACAAAAGGTACCACTGGCCATGACAGTCAGCGGCATATCGAGGTCAAAGGGTCATGTGTAACGGTCAGTCAGGATGCAGTCAGGTGTTTCCCTCGTTTAGGCTTCCTTCCTTTCCAGTAGGAAGGGCAGCTCGCGGCATGTCTGCTAATGTGGAAATAAGTTATAAGTTTACATGTCTGTGCAGTCAGTGGTACATCTCCATGTGCGTGTGTGTCTCTGTGTACCTCTGCATATGTGCAAATGTTTTTCTCAGCATTCAGGCATGCACGTTTGGCTCCGTGTGAAACCGTGTGTGCAGGATTGCACGCATCCATCCTGCCTTCAAACTGAACTAGTTAGAACTGTACATGGACAATACCAATACCTTTTTAACTGAGAATCAGTCACAGCACAGTGTACAGTGTTTATATACAGGAAACAGCCAAGGATAATGGAAGAGTACCATTGAAAGAAGAAATCTGATTGGCTATGAAACTTGGCTGACCTGATACAAACCTGAGGTGATGTTTATAGAAAGAGAAAACGACACACCTCTGAGCTGAACTGCTACCCTGCAGTACTGCAGGATGGCAGAGGTCTCAGGGTTAATATACAGAAACATACCAATGCATACTGGAATATATTTGTGTACTACTTAAGGCATTTCTGCAAATAGTGTAGCATATGCAATACTTTAAATAGTGAAAAACGCACTGTTTCTAAGTACACACACACCCTTGTTATTACACAACCTCTCATAGAGACCCCCCTACTTCCTCATCCAGGTCGAGTTTATGATGCGTGACATTCAGCTTTGGGTCAAATCACAGCTCAGGGTGGAGGGTGAATGTAGCCCGCCTGCCCCCTCCACACAGCATGAGAGGCCTTCGCACAATCAACCAGTCTAGTGATGTCTAAAGTTTGATAATCTCATTTTATTCACTGCTCTCTAAGGTGACTGTATTTTAAATATGACCTTGAGGGTTAAAAAGATTGAAGTCTATATACTTTTGCTTGCTAGAATGATCTAATGTGCCACTAATTAGCTAGATAAACATCCTATGCAGTCAGACAGGCAGGTCAAAGGTTCAGTAAATCATAAGTAAATAAGTGTGGCTTTGCTGTGCAGTTCAGAGTATCATATTTAGCGACATGCTTCTTTTTCCCTCTTTCTCACTCATCTCCGCACAACTCCTTTCCCCCCTCGGTCTTCAAAGCCATCAAACATTTACAGTCTGTGGGGCTTTTTAAGAGGAATAAAGCTGATATTTACTGCGGGCTTTCATTGAATGTAAAGGCCCAGATTTGTGGTGCCCATAAACCACATCTCCCCTTCCTGCCTGTAAAAATTTAATGCCACACAGCTACCACTGAGCTCCGGCTCCCATGAGGCTTCCATTCATTTCTTTTTCCTTTCCTTGACAGAGAGCAGAGGTGAGAAGAGACAAAAACTGACTCAACGTGTTATACGTGCTGTATTAATTAAAGGCCTTAGAGTGTGTGTGAGTGCTACTGTAGAGTTTGACATTAAAGTAGTCGGTTTAACTAAAATACTGTAAAAATACAATCATTTAGAAGCTTTCCTCCACATAATATGGAGATGCTAAGCTATGCTGGTTAACTTAGCTTAGCATGAACACTGGAAACAGGGGGAAAAAGCTAGCCTGGCTCTGCTGAAAGGCTA